GACGTGTGGGGCAGGGGTGGCACCGCAGACAGGGGGGCACAGCAGTGTGGCGTTGGCACAGGTGGTTCTGCCCCCCCCAGGAATGCCAGGGTGGAGGCTGGGGTTTTGCGGCCCCACACCAACTGCCCTGTCCTCCCCCCCCCCCAGCTCTATGCTTCCCGTGTCACCGACGGCTGTGGGGCCCACGATCAGCCTAGACCTGGACGTGGATGATGTGGAGATGGAGAATTACGAGGTGCGTCGGCTCTGCTTCCCCACAGGGTGATGGGATGGGGGACCTGAGGGGGGTTTGGGGATCGCCCTGCCAGGGTGGGGAGAGCTGTCCGGTGCTGGGGCATGAGCTGAGCTGAGCTGGCCTCTGCGTCTCCCTCCAGGCACTGCTGAACCTGGCCGAGCGGCTGGGGGAGGCCAAGCCGCGGGGACTCACCAAAGCAGATATCGAGCACCTCCCGTCCTACCGCTTCAACCCTGAGAGCCACCAGTCCGAGCAGACCCTGTGAGTGAGCCGGGGGTGCAGACAGGGGGGCATGGGGGTGCCTGGTGGGGGGCCAGGGGCTGTGGCTGCATGGTGGGGCCATACTGACGGCTGCCTCCCCCAGGTGCGTTGTGTGCTTCAGCGACTTTGAGGCCCGGCAGCTTCTCCGCGTCCTGCCCTGCAACCACGAGTTCCACGCCAAGTGTGTCGACAAATGGTTAAAGGTACTGCCCGTGCCCGCTGCAGGGAGCTGGGCGGCTTCTTGGGGTGCTGCGGGAGCAGAGCGCTGCCTTTAGGGTGGCCTCAGTGCCATGCAACACAGGATGCGCTGGGATTGGGGGCCAAGCACCGTGCCGGGTTGGATCAGGCACTGCTGGGACGTGGCACACTGCGGGGTGCTTCTAGCCCTTGGTGGTGGTGTAGGGAGGGGGCCCTGGGTGCAGCTGGTACCATGGGGTGCCTGCTCACTTGCCCCTGTCTCTCCTTGCCTGTAGGCGAACCGCACGTGCCCCATCTGCCGGGCGGACGCGTCGGAGGTGCAGCGGGAGGCGGACTGAGGCTGGCGGGCGCTGTGCCGCACAATTCGCTAGAGGACGAGGACGCCGGGCCAGGGGCGGGGGCCGCTGCCCGCTGCTAGGGCCTGACCCTGCGCTTACCCCCCCTCCCCAAAGCCTCTCCTCGGATGTGGTGAGCATTGAGCAGTCCGGGCTCCTGGCCAGCCCTCCTCCTCCCCGCCGGGGCACGGACTCGGCCGGACGCCTGCCCGCTGCGCTCCCAGGGCCCTGAATCGTGTTGTGCTGGAGGCGGGAGGCGCGTGGCCGTGCCCTCCGTGCTCCAAAGACGCTGTTGTTCCTCCATCACTTTCCAGGTCTTTGTACTCCGCTAGGGAATTAGTGTTTTTTCCCTTTGTCACCTTTTTTTTTTTTCATGGTAGGTTCCCCCCCTCTCCGTTTCCCTTTTCCGTTGCGTTTTTGGTTCTGTGGCTGTTTGACCCAGTGGCGCGCAGGCGGCTCCTCCCCTCGGCGTTGCTTGCGGAGGATGCAGGGAGGAGAGAGGAGAGAGTGCCGCCGATTTGATGCCGGCGGCACCCTGAGCCGGAGCGCTGGGGCGGCCCCGGGGGCAGCCGGAGGAGGTGGCCAGTGGAGCGTGGCCAAGGTGGGACACCAGCAACCCCGCGGCATGGCCGGGGCAGGAACGACTCTGTCCCCGCTCCCGCACACGGCCCGGCGCAGCCCCTCTCCCGCCTCGGCTGCCCTGGGGAGCCCCGGAGGGTTATGGCTGCTTGGGGTCTTTCCCTGGTGGGAGGACGGTGCTGGCGCGGCCCCAGCCCCTCTCCCCGTTCATTCCCCCGTGCCCGGCCGGTGCAGCTCTGGGGGCCAGGCCGTGTGGCATCCCACGAGGCAGCCTGGCCTGGGGGGTGGGTGACCCCAGCCCCGTCCCAGTGGCCACGGGCATGCGGTGTCCCTGGTGCCCCCCGCTGCCCGGCCCCCGGCTCCCGCTGTTGTTTCTCTGTCCCGCCGCCGTAAATCGGAACAGCCCCGCGCCCCCGTCCTGCTGGCTGGATGGTGCGGTGCGGTGCCCCCGGCCGGGGCGCAGCGGGGGGCCGGCCGGGCTGTGGCGGGTGCCCCCCGGCCCCCGGACTGGGGTTTTTTTTTATCCATAACCTCGTGGTGTATTTTCAGTGGTACCCCTGGCCCTGCCCTGGCTGGTGCGGGGG